AAAGTTACAATGGCTGGGAATTTTTATATTGCCATTCGAATTTTGGCCAAAAGTATTTCACCAATATTGGCAAGATAGAGAGATACACAGGACCGAACTCAGACCCAGACAATTGTTTGCCAATATTTTAGCCGAATAGTATGGGGGACGAGAAGAGTGAACTTTCCAGGGCGTGGAAATGATTTTCGTTTTCGACATCTGCCAGAACGGAACCCAGAATACTTTCTTCGTCTGTCGTCGCAGTCTGGCCGCCCGTTCCACCTCCTTGGCGGCAACTTCCGCTGCTTTCTCATGACCGTGAAAGTGTTGGCCCTGGCACAAAAGTCGGCTTTCGGCTTGGATTCTCCATTCTCGACTCTCCAGCTCCATCTGCTCGCTTGGCTACCCATTGTTGCATTGTCAGATCCAGATACACTCTATATGGAACATAGAACATATATGTATATGTATAAAATGGGCTCAGGCACAGCGGACTTTAAGTCGCGACTGTTTGCCCAGCATAACGAGATCCCTTTAGGAAGCCAAAATCAAACAAACCCATACATAAACCAGGGGCAAAGGAACGATTTTGAGGGTACACTAGGAGAAAAAACATTAAAAATGTTCAATATATTTTTAATTGCTTAAGAGTATTTTTTCTAAAGGGTTTTATTGACTGTAAAAAATAATTTCTTCCAAAAATATGTAATTACATTTTTTGTAAAAATGTTTCATGATTTAAAGAATTATTTCCAAGTTTATTTTATGAAATCGGGCACTTTAGACAGTTTAGAAAAATATTAATAATTTTGGAAATACCATCCTTTATTTTATTTTTTTTATTTCTCATTATTTATCCGATTTTATGGATAATTAAATAAGCAAATCATATTATCTAAGTGTACTTCAAATGGGAAGTGGAGGATTGGCAGCATCAACCCTCGGCTTAGATTTCCACTCCATCCCACTCAGTTTGCGCCACTCAAAAATGCAGCCAGGCTACTCAGAAGTCGATTCTGGGCACGGTTATGCTTTTTTATTCGGGGTTGCTGCTGCAAGGAATCCAGTCTTATCCAAGATAAAGCTATTAGATATCCCTGCATGTCCATCTCTCTCTCTGTCTCTCTTTCTATTTCTATATGTGTGTGTGCTTTTTTATGTGTTTTGGTAATTCTGTAAACAAATGAGTGGGATCTGGGCAGATAGCTATAATATTCGAACTGGGGGAACTCCGGGGCTAACTTAATAAGTATCGCATTAGAGCGAGGAAATGGGAATGGGGGGATATCGAAATGCGTGGTTTGAAATAGAAGAAGGTTGTGTTTTTTCTTGAAGCTTCCAATTTCGATAAGAAATGTTATTATTTTTATTTAATGAAGTTATCTTAAAGATGTTAGAGTTTTATTACAAAATTATCGAAATTATATTTAAAAATCTATATTCAAGTAAATACATGGAAAACCTTATCCCTTTGTCAGTTGTTCAACTTTTCTCCTCTTCTGAACTGTGACCTCAAGGACTGGCCGTTAAATGAGTATCATTAGGTTTCTAAATTCAGCTTGCATTTTGGCCCCAACATTAACCCCCTCTTCAGCTCGACCACTTTCAAATAGTTTGGGGTCCCTGGTGAGCGAATAAAAACCGAAAAGGGACCCAGCCGCTGACGTAATAAGCAATACTTAAGACCTAATGCAGGGTATAAAATATGCGCAGCATTCGCAGGAACACCTCGCTCCTCCTCCTCGAATAAGCGGGATACCCCAGGATACGACCAGGATACCCAGGACACAAGGGTTGCCCAAGCTCAGTCGTCCTTTTTCCTTTCCTTTTTTTGCTCTTGCTTTTGCCCACTGAAAACGGTCGCCTGCAGTGCGCGTTCCTTTTGCCGCTGCTGTGATTTTTGATTTAAGCATAATTTTGCAACAATTTCGCCGGGTTCTTTTGGGGCTGCCCGCTGTGAGCAGTGAAAAATTTCAAACATTTCTTCAAGGGATTTGCGCAATTTTCCATTTTTTTCCCTATGCCTTCATCTGATGTCTGATGCTCCCTTTTTTTTATGTACTTTCTCGGTCTCCCCCTCTCGTAATATTACTCGCATTTAAATGGTTGGCAAATAAACAGACGAACATTTTGCATTTCCATTTCATTGCGTTTGTCTTAAGACCTCTGTCTCTGAATGTCTGAATGTCTGTGGCAGCTTCTCGGTTTTATTTCCTGCTGCCATTGTCAACTCGGCGTATGATTAATGCGTCAAAGACGGGACATCGGCAGTGGGAACCTGAAACCTTTTCGAGACCCTGAAACTTGATCTCCCCCGCAACTCACGCCCCTACAGCAGCAGCCAACCCGTTTAATAAATGACATCAAAAAATTAAAATTCGCCGCCGGAGCGTTATTCAAATTTACTAAAGCAATAGAAAGATATGCATCTGGATGATGATGATGTATTTTTAAAATAAAAGGTGAGCCAGGCAACCTAATTTGACACTCGCCGGCACTTGAGCAAGTTTCACTTCGTTTATAAGGACCAAAAAAAATAGAATGGTCTAGCAGCGAAGAAGAACGGAAAAAGGCAACATGGATCCATGGCGTTGTTAGTGGTAACGAGTCGGGTTTTAAAGGGGTGACAGCCACTCGACTTTTTTCCAAAGCCAAAACACGCTTCGTTGGCCTTGTTCGCGGGTTCCGTCCTCTAATGAAGGGATTATTAAGCATTTTAGCATTTTAAATTAAACGGATCCAGCAGTGCGAAAATCAGGACACTTTAATGAGATTCCGAATAAAGTTGGCGAGTGATAGCATCTTAATTAGAAATGAATTTATTTTTAAAACAATTAAAACTTGGCGAGATGCTGATTTATTTAAACATCTATGATGTTAATACAAAAAATTTCATAAATAGTAGGAAATAAATCAAATAAAATATGGTTTAAGTATAGGTACATTTTGTAAGATTATTTTTAATCTGTGGAAACTTATCTTTTATTTATAAATTATTTTTTAAAATTTATTATTTAAAATTTATTTCCGAATTTTTGTTTTTTTTTTAAATTTAGTTGTGATATTTAATGAGTGCCGAGGTATTTCCGCTTTCCACCCTTGATTTTCCTCATCCATCTCTTGTATATTCTCGAATAATTTACAGATGCATAGGGATTTGCTTTGGGATCAATTTTGGGCATCGTTTACAGTTGGCAAACATCGTCATCATCATCCAATTTTGACAAGGGGTGACACACTCAAATATACTTACCATAAAGACCCTCCCCCCGAATAACCTCCTCCACTTCCTGATGCTGAAAAGTATGCTACATACACAATCTCCCACTCACTCACTCGCCCACAGAAAATAAAGAGCCAGGAACTTCAAAGCCAGCCCTTGGCAATTTTCAATTAAAAACGCCTACAACGCGACTGCTTTCGCATACTTCTGCTGCCATAGAATTTTTGTGTTTTTGTTTCGCTTTGTTTGCCCTGCAAACCCTGCCTGCGGGTTTCCCTGAAAATTCCGTGAAACTCTCTGGAAATTTCCAGATAGGCCGCATAGCTTTAATGCTCTGCATTAAGCACAAAACATTCTACGAAAATATCACGACATGGAATTGCACTCGCACTGATGGAGATTACAGAAATATGGCCACAGGCAATGTGTCAAGTGTCGCAGATTCGTCTGCCAGTCCTGCCAGTTTTCCATCCGCGGAGGCAAACTGGTTGGTGTCACTAAACTTGGTCAAGTGAGGGCTTTCCATGTATTCCAGCAGCTGCTCAGCAACTTTTCTCCTTTTCTCCTCACTGGGTCCTCGTTCGGTGGCCCCCAAGTTGTACATTAGCCTAGATTGAAGCTTTATGTTTTTTAAACTTGGCTTCTAGGCTATTTTATTTTCAAATGCTACACAGAGAAAATTAAGCAAGAAGACTGACGTTCTCAAATTAAGTATTTGTATTCTCAATTTGAGGAAATACTGATTTTGTGGACAAATTTTGAAAAAAGAAGCCTATTTCTTTCACCATGTTGTTTCTCTCTTATTTGTACCCGTTTTTTGAGAAAAAAATCTCTAAAAAGACTCAATTCCAAGGTATTTTATTTAAAAAATTGGTACTGAAAGTAAGTACTTCGTACTTAAAGTGAGTACTTGGTTTTATTTTGAGTAGAAAATTCTCAATTTAAGTGCACCGTTCATGAAAAATTCTCTCTGTGTATCTTTCCTTACGAACGAAAAATAAAAATAAATTGTAATTAATATTGCTTTGTAATAATTCATAAATTAAAACTTATTCTTTACTTAAATTTGGAGGTTAAAATTATAGAGGTTTGATATTTATTTGATTACCATTGTTTCCCTGTGATTTGGAATTTTCAACGCATTTTAATTGATTTTTAAATCGATAACAAATCAAGAGAGCAAGGGAGATGAAGACATTCCATTATTTGCTCATTACTTTTTAATGAATGGTCCGATGTAAAAAAATTTCTTCTACACTTCGACACACTCAAAAAAAAATTTTAGAAAATCGCCTATGGATTTGCTTTACTGGCGATTTTTTTCTATATTTCTGGAATATTTCTTGAATTTAATGAATTTTGATTAATTGGAAGAAAATTTTCTTTACCAGTAGAAAATTTTTTTATTTTAAAGAAAAAAATCGCCAGTGAAGCAAATCCATAGACGATTTTCTAAAATTCAGGGCGATTCATTTTCTGAGTGCAGGTATTATTAAACAAAACAAAATCTTTAAAGATGGTGCGTAAAAAATCTAGGAATCTTTATATATATATATATCTTTATATATCTTTATAATTACATACTTATAGGTTTTGACGTAAATCAAAGCTTTATGATAATAAATATTTGAAATAATGAAATAATTTAGAATTTAACAATTTAACTAGAAATAAGACTACAAAAAACTCTGATAAGAGATGAGTTTTTTCTTAATGGCCAACAATCGGTTGATTATATTATACAATGCTAATAATACAGATCGTTACTAATGTTTCCCCAACCTTCTCCCCTTTGCAGTCGCGCACATCTCTGGTGTCCAGCTCGGAGGGCGGCATCCTGGCCGAGGGCGAGACGTCCAGCGAGGATGACGAGGAGGAGCCCGTGGAGGCGGAGGACGAGGATGAGGGCGAGGAGGAGAGCAGCCGGGATTCCAGCGACAATTCGCCGCCCTGCGATCTGGGACTCATGGAGCGCCTGCTGGTGACCCATCCGATGTGGTTCCTGCCCGGCATCCAGCGCTCCGGGGCCGTTCATCTGCTCCAGGGCAAGGAGGAGGGGGTGAGTGTCGTCCTGCCGTCCCGGCGATAATTATTAATTTATTGATTTAGCTTAATAAGGCAATTTGGTGAATCGTCGAAAACGACGACGGGTGCGGTAAATTAACCAAAAACACATGTGACCACACAAATTTGCACAACAATGAGGGCAGAAAAACACACACGAAAAAAAAAGCAAGAAAAAAATTAAAACAATTGGGGACGCATTCATTCGGTGCAAAATTTACATATACAAATTGCAATCAATTAACGACCAGCAGGTCCTGCGATGTCCTGTGATGTCCTGCGTATCCAGCACAAAACACACACGTGGCAGGGGAAGATTCATTAATATTACGACAGGACAACAATGCCAAGCCCTTTTAATTGTAAATGTATAAAGATAAACAAAGAAATGTAGCCAGGACCAGGACTAGAAGCAGGACTCTGCTGCGTTTGCAAATTCATTGAAATTTATCTCGACTCGAGCAGCAAAAATGGTAGACAATAGGGCCGAAAAAAAATGGGAATGGGCTTGGATGAAGAACCATGTTCGAACATTCATGGTATGAGAATCGGGAAACGAGAAAGGAGCACCCATTCACAAAAGGCGACAAAAACAAAGGCCAAGCCGGCAATGGTCAGCAGGCAGGGATTGATAAAAAGGAGCAGAAGCTGGACTATAGATGATCCAGGACCTCGAGTCTGCACTGTGCGAAAAATAATCATTTAATTTAGATATCTATCGTAATATTTCTTAATAAAAAGTACAGGGAAATCTATTAGATATTTAGTAAGAATGTAAATGCAATTTGTTGGTGTTTATTAATACCTATCGACATGTAAAAAATTTTTTTTAATCTAACCATTAATTTAAAAGTTATTAGCAAATAATAAAATGGACACGCGAGCAAGCAGTGCAAGCAGTCGCTTTGCTACTTACATATCTCCAACTCCCTTGCTTAGCTTTGTATTCAATCAATGTTATACGAAATTCTCGCAGTGTAGTAAAAGCGGGCTGACCATTTTGCGATTCAAAGCTCTTTGCATAGACAATTGAAATTACGGAAAGCTGATGGAACTGGCAGATAGAATAGAACAGGTAGGGTCTAAAAGCCAGGACGGAGGATAACAGTGAATATAATGGGGAATGTCCAACAAATTGTACAGATTCAATAAGGTAGAGTCCCGCACCAACTTTAAGCAGTAGACTGAACCAGCAATTATCACGTGCTCGCCGATTGGCAGGAAACTCATTAAGGTCTCTTCCTTTTATACAGTTCTTTTTTGTTGTATTTTAAATCAGTATTTTTTACTGATCAATGTACAGGAACTTTTTATTTTAATTACCAACTTAATGCGAACTTATAAACTTGCAATTTTGTGAGAGTATTTTTTAAAAACTCAAAGAGACAACATTTTGAAATCAACGGCCTTATTTGAATGGGTATCTCTTCTCTGGTTCCCTCGTTTTTTTGCTGCCAGCTTAGCAATTTTCAATCGTCGAACGCGCCGTAACAATGGCTCATTGATTGCAACGTCGGCCGGTTTTTCCACTTGCAAAAGAACACTTCAATTCTCATACTCCCGTTCTCCTTTTTTCTTCACTGGAAAAAACATATAGTAGTTTTGAAAAAAGGCGTAGGAATTTCCTACTCGGAAATAGCGCTCTAAAAAATATCGACAGTTTTCTATTTCTAGATATTTAATTTGTGTTTCCCCTTAAACATCGATATTATCGAATCGATATTGTCAAAATATCGAAAATATCGATTTTTATTTTTTGTTTTAATTAGAGTGTAAAGTGAAAAGTTTTTCGCCAACTTTTGCATTTTGCTGCTTGCTCTTTCAGTGCGTCGTGGCCCGGAAATTGTCTGCAGTTCCACCTGCCACACGCCACACCCTCACATTTACAGCCCCCTATTTTCCTCCACTGGATGCTCCTTTTTCCATCGATTGCTAATTGCATGCGTCAACGGCAGGAAAAGTACGTTGTTGGTAGCGCACCGCTGCCTCAATTATACGGCCAACGCTTCGGAAAAGTCCTTAAATCCCCATTAGGATGCAGGACGACGATGACTACGCACTCCTCCTTTGCCATTGTTTATGCGTTTAATAAAAAGCCATTTAATTGAAATTGAAGTAGTCGTTTCCCCTCCTCTCGACTTGCAACCTCTATCGTTTGCAATCGGTTTCGGATTCGGATTCGTTCGTTTGTTTGTGTGTGTAGTTTGTAATTAAAAATCAATCAATATGTTCGAACTGGACACAGTGCATTGTGGCGTCATATGGTGATCCATTTTGCCTGCCTGGTATTTTAATTACTCCTCCGTATCGAACCAAAGTTTAACAGATTTTTTCCCTGTTTGCACATCTCTCGTGATTTTTTTTCCCCTTCCGGATACCTTTTACATCCGACTGCCGCCCATCGCCATCAATCATAAATATGCGTGGAGCAGGGGGCGTGGTCACATGTGTGCGTATGTCTCGCATTTCCATTCCACCCACTTCATATTTTCCTGTTTTTCTCTTCTTTTTTTGCCACGGGATTTGTTATGCCGACCACAGAATGTAATTAGCAGCAAATGTCGATGCTTTATGGACCAAACGATGAGTGTGGGAGAGTTGGGTGTTGGTCAACAGCTGGGGCAACCATTTAATGTCGGGGTAATCGGCCGAAGAGGGAGTTTGATTGGCTGATTGAGAGTTCAGAGGGGCGACATCATTAGCGCTCGTCACCTGTACAGTGAGCAATGGCTATTTGATGACCCTCTGCAAACAGCTTTAGTTTCTTCAGCAGCACTTCAAAAAAGGCTCAAGATTCTATTGATTAAATTGTGTTTTTAAGGAAGCTTCTTGAAAAAGTAACATGGAAGTTTAGTATAAAAATTGTTTCATTGTGTACACATTTTTGAAACAATTGTACATTTAGGAATGTTAAAAATTATGGAAATTGTACTTAAAAAAATAATTTATATAAATAAAATGCAAATTCAATTTATAACGCGCGGAAGTGTTCAGAAACTCTCGGAAGTATCATAAGGCCCGTGGGCTTTAATTTTAAACAATCTAATATAGATTTGATTTTTAATTAATATGTATTTAATATCTTGATTATAACTATTTTTATTATTATCCTATGTGAGCCTTCTTCAACCGTTAACGATAATATTCTTTACTTTAATGATTAATGTTTATCCTTGATTTATATATTTCCTGAATCTTTTATTTGTTAATTATTTTATCAGAAACCCGATTAAGGTTTTAAGCCCCATGTTTCGGTTTCTCTACCAAAGTTAAGCGCGTTTCAAATGGCCAATCCATTTCGCAAAAAACTAAGCTTTCTCGCTGACAGCTGGAATCTCAATTCGCATAATCTTTGTTGCCCAAAAAACGCATTTGCAACACATTTGAAATGCCCTCTGCATTCATGGCAATCGATTCATTCATTCATTTCGCTTTTATTTATTTTTTGTTTTTTTGCATTTTGCATGCCACCGATATGAGTTTGATTTGGGAAAAGCAAACATCCTTTGATCCCCGCAACCGAATCCTCCCGTATATTTGGTTTTTCCATGCTCTTGAACTATTTTTTGGCTGCTTTATTGACGCCTTGCGTTTGATTTATGAATTCATGGCAGAGCGGGGCCAAAATGAACATGTTAAGCTGCAGCTGAAGGCCAGCAGCTGCAGTGCCACGCCCACTCGCTTTTGGCCAATCCACATTGACAACCTTAAATGGCCAATGGTTTTGGCCAAAAGCGGAAGAAGAGGGAACACAGTCAAATTGAATTTTTTCGGCTGCAGCCTTTGTTTGGCATGTGTTTCAATGACATTCCATTTCGGGTTGGGGTGGTGTTTATTTTTTGGTCTCAGCTTACATGGCAAAAAGTCAGACAATGTTGAAAAAAAAACCAAAAAAAAAAGAAAGGAATGGCATGGAAAACATACATTCAAACAGTAGCCACATAGGCGCAGACAGTTTTTATTTATCACCCAGGCACATCGCCATCCTGGGATGGTCAGGTGGACCAATACCAATCCCAATCCCAATCCCCATCTCAATCCAAGGACCGAAAACCAGAAGAAGGAGTCACATTGGGTGGCAAATGGCCATCAACAACAGGCGCAGAGAGTCAGTCAGTTAGCCAGCTGATGAGGCGATAAGGGAAAGCAGACAGCCGCAGGATGAGAGGATGTCGGCCAGGACGAGAAGGAGTCCGGCGGAGTCCAGTTCCATTCAGTCCAGTCCCCCCTTCGATGCGAGTGTGTCCAAAATTATATTAGCAACCACATGGCAAGCCGAGAACGGAAACGGGATGAGGTGACACAGGATGTCGCATTTATTGACGTATTTATACGCTGCTTGTCGGGCCTTAAAGCCACTTTCAATGCAAGCTACCCACTGGATTTGATCATACGTACCAATAATAATCTGTTAACACATTTACTAATAGTTATAATGATTATTTTTAAATGGGCCAAAGATAGTTATCCTCTTATTTTGAAAAATGCATTAAATGTATAAATTAATATGGTTTTGTATCTGTTTATTTACATAATTTTAATTTTTTGATGAGACGCTCTAATTTAACATTCCCCTATAGACCCTACAAAATTATACTAATATGCCACAACAAATTTACAAGTCCCATCTACTATTTTGTAAAAATTAAAAATTGTTTAAATGACATTCCAGACCTTACTTATGAGTCATAAGTTTTGACTAATATTTCTGAATTTGCTAAATAGATTAAAATTATTTTTTTTAATTTGTAAAAAGTTCTTTAAAGGGCATCTAAATTATTTTAATTGATATTTCTTAAACAAAAATAAATATTTCTTTTGTGATTAAATAAAACTCAAAAACTGATTATTATATTTACTTTTTTTGTAATTTAATGTATAAGTATTATATACAGTACCAGTTTATATTAGCTTACCAAGTGCGAAACAAATTAAATATTATTAACTTTACAACACTTATGGTGTCAGCAACCCCGTTTATGCCCGAATATTTTC